ACCATGAATATTAAGACTCAGAAAGAAAAGGAGAATCAATGATTACAAGCCAAACCCCAATGCCTCCAAGTTTATTTTTGTATACAAAGAGTTTATTCTTGTGTGCAGAAAGTCTTACATACACATACCATCAAGTTCCTTTACAAATTGCTTAATGTCAATTAACTCACTGAAGAGAGAGATTGCAACAATCAAGGCAGCATTCCTTCCATGTAGCATGGTCCTAAATAACTAATTCACTATACTTATACTAACATCCTCCTCGTTGAAAAGAAGTCATTTTTTGGGGTGTTTTGTGCACTATTTCGAATTCTAACAGAATTTGTGTATACGTTTTGGTTGATAGAATAGCATGTCCTCTACTATTGATATTTTTTATTCTTGATTTTTCATGCATTTATTAATACATCATAATTAAAATTTATATAAATTCCGCGTTAAAATCCATAATTTAATACTCTCAAAACCATGAATTAGATTATCAACTAGGGGAGTAATTGGTCCAGTTATGATTCCTTAGGAATTCCCATATTCCTAGATTTCTTGATTCATGACTTCCCTCATTTCTAATAAGGAAACATGCTCTAGGTGATATAATAAGAGAAAGCGAATCAAACACAAAATCTTATGTGCAACATGAGCCACAAAAAATATGAAGTTGATCTCACAATAATCCTCAGATAGAGAAGGGAAAAGAAAAAGAGTTCAAAACTGAGATCATCATCAACTAATTAAAAAAGGGAGATGATTTTTCCACTCTTCTTTTGTCCATTTACACTCCCTTTGTTGAAAATTGTATGTTCTCACTCCTCTTTTATTCACGTACACTTATTTATATAAAAAAAACACTGCACATAATATTTGCATTGCTGAGCTTCACGTGTGCTCAAGGTCGTCTGACTGATCTCCTCATTAAAAGGTAATGAAATTTTAATATATTTTTTTTTAATTACTACAATATTGAGGAAAGAGAACACTGTCCACGATGAACTATATATCTATAAAGTAATAATTAAAGAAGTAAAGATAAAATAATTGGTTGTAATGAGAAGGTATTAATGTAAGATTCGTCCTTGACCTCTTTGATATGGCCAAAAGTCTGGGAAACCTGAAACAAAGACTAGTAAAAGGGTGTGTGAAAATTCTTGGTATTGTTATAGATGCTTCCACACAATACAAATCTACCTAATAAATAAATAAATTCCATAAAAACATGTACGTTTCAAAACCCTAATCTCAATTTCCGAGGAATGGTTGACATTGATCGATCCAAAATCCAAATGCTTAATTAATTAATTGATTAATTAAACTAATAATAAATAATAATCCCCCCATGCGTCTTAATTAATGATATAATCATGAAGGTTCATCGATTTCCGACAGAGGAGAGAACAAATTGTCAGTCTTCTAGGCTGTTCCGTGTTGGTCGCCGCAAAAATGTTCGTAATTTTGGATTATAAATTAATTAATATACCAATTAACAATTTATTATGTGTTTAATTAATACTGTCTGTCAGGAACCCTAGGAAAAACAAATTCTTCTTCTATGCAATATTGCCAGTGCATGCTACCACTTCTAGCTTGGACGCATTTGACTTGGAAAGTTGAGAAATTCGAAAGATTAATTCCTAAACTATTTCAGATTTAAACAATTCAAAATATATATTTTTTGAAAATGGATTCAACAACATTTTAGTTGTTGTTGATCTCAAGGTAGGGTTTTGTGGTCTCTCTCATGAACAACCTTGAGTTCATACATGAACTCAACTTTCTAGGGCACACAAAATTACAGGCAAGGTGTCAACCAAACACCAGCCCTAGGACTTGGGGATAGGAAAACCTAGCCCTTGCAAGCCAACCCAACAAGCAATGGGTTGGGATGATTTACGTCAGCCCAACTATAGTACAAGAACCAAAATCATTTTATTTTGTTTTGGTTTTTTAAATACACACGATATTAGAGGATGAGGATTTAAACACAGAATGTCAGGTGGGTGTAATAGTAACCATTTGAGCTACAAACGTTTGCATATTTCGTGTTTTAATAACACCAAAATGGTTTCAATTTATCTCCTACTATAAAAAATAAAAAATAAAAAATTTTGAATATCGTACTTTTCTTTTTCTTTCTTTTTTCCTTTTTTCTTTTCTCAGTATTATAAATTTATAATTAATACTCTATGGACCCCCAAGTCCTTATTGGGCTTTATGGGTCATTGGCTCGTGAAGGTGTTGGTTGGTTGAGAGTTTGACAGTCTGTTAGTGAAAGAAGAGGTACTAGCCGAATAAAAATAAAAAAAAATTAAAGAGGGTTTTAATGAAAAGGGTGGGGACCCTAATTTGTGTGCCCAGAAGCAGAGCCAGAGCCATGGATGGGTGACTTAACCAAAACCAAAGTTGCATATAAGAAAAGGCAACACATACCGATGTTTATAGGCAGTGGTTAAAGGTATTAAAAGCTTTGCATCATCTTTCAATATGCCCAAGATAATTGATTCTACTTTTTTCATCAAAAGGGGAAAAAAGAAAAGAGAGAAAAAATAAAATAAAATATTATACCTTTGTTTCTTACAAGCAACTGAATTATGTGTCTTTGTTAATAAGCTTTCAACCTTTTGTGCAACAACTAGCCACTTTTTGTCCAAGAATAGAGTGCTAGTAATTTTACTATATTTTTTTATATTTTTTTTCCTTCTTCCTATTATTGTAATTTTTTAACAACTGTGTGTAAGTTTAGTATACTATCACCCATCTTCTTGATTTTTTTAAAATTTTATAATTAAAGAAACAATATATAGGAAATTTAATTTATGTAAATTATTATTATTATTTTAAATTTTGAAATGCCATTATCATAGTTTCTTTTCTAAGTCTAATCAATAATCATATATGTTTTATTAATTTTAGATCAGAAGTCAACCAAATTTTGACTTTTTAACTTTGGCCTAATCAAAACTAAATGAAAAACAATAATTTAAGTGATTAATAATATTGAAAATATTTTTGACCTAAATGAAATTAGTCCAAAGAATTGTTTATGAAATAGAACTCAAAACAAATTTACATATTTTTATGAATTATCTTTCCCCTTACTTTGTTTACTATTACATGGTGCATTGGTGCGAGTGCCCTATTTATAGAGGAAAAGTGGGAGGTACTTTGGGTTATTATTTCGACGTGGGACTGCGTCACATGAGAGGCTGTCACGTGTCCAAGAGCTTAAGCGGCACGACAAGTGCCTTTGTTTATCCGGTTTGGTAAAGAGGGGGCTTATCAAGGGCTAATCCCCTTTCACGATGACTAGCGTCTATCCCGGTGGCTAGGTTAAGCTAGAGAGGCCTTCGGTTAGGTGCCATTCTCCTGTGATATCCTTGCCAAAGAGGCTCGGTCAAATACGGTATGAACACTTTATCTTTTTTATGTCGCCTTTCTTTTTTATTTAATTTAAAGGAAACAAAAAATTAAAAACAATAGCTTGTACTAAAATATATATTTTTTAAATTAAAAACAAAACGCTACCAAACAATTAACCCACCTCCATGAATACCAATTGCAATGTTCAATGTCAAATGTCAACATGTGGCTAGAAATATAATCAATTAAAGCTAAATTTTGCCCCCTAAAAAATTGGGTGATGTTGAGAGTATCCACATGAAAAATAGAAGTTGTACTTGAATCCTTAATTTTTTTTGGACCTTCTCACCTATTTTTAATTGATTTTGGATTAAGTACTCATATTCTAACATGGTATCAGAACAAGTTATTCAAGTGACAGGTCTGACGACCGCACATGCAATAGTTAACACTACAAAGTTATTTAACATTTTAAATCAGGACTTTCATTCAATTGATAGTAATATTTCTTCTGAGATTGATCAGCTCTCAAATTGAAATCCAAGTCCTAAAATTTTGTCTCTATTTTTCTTTTTCGTTTTCCAAAAAAAAAAAAAAAAAAGAGAATTGTTGGCACATTGGTAAACTTTGTACGCCAGACATGCCCTGCTGTTATGGTGTCACAGAATGTCACCAGGCAATAACACAAGGTGCGTGGGTAAAATTTGGTCTGTCTAGAAATTGACCATTGTTCTTTTTTAATCCCGGCCCTAACATTGTCTGTGGTACACGTGGTTGGTGACCAGGGCGCAAGAGAGTACTTTGGATGATTTGAAAAGACATAACTACCCCTTCCCGTTTCTCTCTCCACCTTCTAAAGATGGAGCGGTAAATTTGACTTGCCCCACTGTCCCTCACGTATAAGGGAGGACCGTCCTTACAACTAACTGCCACAAATCATGTACCTTTGAATTAAATTTTTTTAAAATCTCCAGATTTGATTTAATTAAAAGCAAAATTAAATAGAAATGATGGGTTTAACTCTAAAAGAAGAACATACCGTTAGTGGAAATTAAAGTTACATCATGAGCCGGGTGGAATTGGAGACGATTAACTAAACCCTAGGATGTGGAAATTAGTGTTCAATCATGTGTGTGTGTGTGTGTTCAATTCAATCAAGAAAATGTTCTTCGACCGAAGTGTTCAATTTAGGGTTTGTAAAAAGGAGCACAAAACCAAAGGGTTCTGTTCAAAGACTCTTCTGTGTGTTGCGTTGCGTGTGTGGGTTAGAAAAGGTTACAAAGGATGAGTTGGTGAGGGGCATATGCACACGTTAAAGTTCATTTACACTCAAATTTTTGGGTTTCCTTTTGTTCCTTTTTCCTCTAAAGAAAAGGCATATAATTGTACTTTTTGTATATAATTATATAAAATACCACAAATCTGTGTAAAAATTAATTTTGCAAATTAAATATTAGTACCTGCTGTTCAAAAAGAAAAAGAAAAAAGAAAAGAAAAGAGAGGGTGTAATTAGAAGGAATCAAGTGATTAGAAAGAAAAAATGTCTCGAACTTTATTTACTATTTTTCTATCTCTTCTCTTTATCTTACTTTCTCACCCTAGTATCCTACCCCCACGTCCACAAAAGAAAAAACACACCTTCTCTGCTCTCTCTCTCTCTCTCTTTCTCTCTCAAGTGTCATTTTCTCACATATACTTCACACAAAAGAAACAACCATTCACTTCATACCTTGTCATTTCTTCTCTCCTCTTTGTTTCTCTCTCTCATCTCAATCTGAAATCTCTCTGCAACTACTCCCACAAATTGATCAAAATCCATCTGCACAAAATACCCAGAAATTAATCTCCAACACCTGAAAATCCATAACCTTCATCCCCTCTTCAGATCACCAGGGAAGCTCACATACAAATAAAACACACTTGGGAAGCTCCTCCATCACAAGCACAAGCACAAGGGAAGAAGAAAAGTTCTTACAATATAAACAAGGTAGAGGGGAATATATATATATATATAAGGAAAGAGCAAGCAGAGAGGAAGATCATGGAGCTGTTCCCTGCACAGCCAGACTTATCTCTTCAAATTAGCCCTCCAAACAGCAAACCCACATCATCAAGTAGTTGGAGGAGAAGTAGTAGAGAAGAGCAAGAGGAGGTGGATTTGGGGTTCTGGAGGAGAGCCTTGGACTCCAGAACCTCCTTCTCCTCCTCAATAGCAAAACCCGATACCGGTTTCGAGCTCGAGCTCTCAAATCCAAGGGTTTATGCTCATGGTCTCCATCATCACCACCACCAGCATCATCAGTCCAATATTAGCTCTAACCATATAATCCACCACCTCAACCAAAATGGTAATGTTTTCCAGGGTTTTGAGCAAAACCAGTTCTCAGTCCCCCAAGTAAATCATCACCCACTATTAAATGTTCATGACCAACAATTACAATTGCAATCACAATCACAATCAGATCATCTTGGGTTCTTGAGGCCCATTAGGGGAATTCCAGTGTACCAAAACCCTCCCCCTAATTTGTTCCCATTTTCTTCCCAAAAGCCTTTAGACAGTAATTCCTGTACTTCCACCTCCACAATTACAAGCTCTTCAAGCCCACTATTTCAGGCTCAAGGGGGTCTTCTCCGATCCAGGTTCTTGTCCCGCTTTCCGGCGAAGCGCAGCATGAGAGCCCCTCGGATGCGCTGGACTACCACTCTTCACGCTCGCTTTGTTCACGCCGTTGAGCTTTTGGGTGGCCATGAAAGTAAGAACAAGCTCTACTCTCTCACTCCTCTCACTTGTTTTCGTTTTCTTGTTTAATTATCCTTTCTTTATGGAAAAAAAACAAAGAAAATGGAAAATAAGTTGACTTATTCTCATCTATTCTCCTGTTAATGCCTTTTCTTATTTTTTCTGTTTAATTAATAATAATGTTGTGGGTTTTATACACATTAGGGGCTACACCAAAGTCAGTTCTTGAGCTTATGGATGTCAAAGATCTCACCTTGGCACATGTCAAATCTCATTTACAGGTGAGCTAATAGTATTTTTCTTTAAGTTATTAGATGTGTGTTCTTCTTGTAGCTATGTTTTTGTCATTCTCTTCTCTCTGAGAATCAGCTAGCCTAGCATGCATGTTTGTTTAGCTTTCCTGCAATATCTCCATCTTTTCTTTTCATCTTAATTAATTTGGGTGTTGAAGTTGAGGCACTAATATTTACTGATGGAGCTTAAGTAAAGATGAAGTACGAAATTTGCAATTTTTACAGCCTGCTTTAGCTAATATTTGTACACGAGGAAGGAGCTATGTAGGTTTTTATTATATATAAATATTTATATGTTCCAAATTCCAATGGTGTTGTTTTGCTGCAGATGAGACGCAGAAATCCTTAGCAAGTAGCTTGTTTTTCTACTTGCGATAGATAGATAGATCTGATGGTTCTGCTTCTGCTTCTGCAAGCTCATAATGAACAGCTTTTTGCTTGGAGGAATGACCCACCCCAAGTTAAAGAAAAAATCAATGCTCTCTCTCTCCCCCTACTATCTAGCTATAGAGAGAAAGAGAGAGAGAGCAGTGAGATGCATCGATTTCAGAAATCGAGTAAGACAAAGCCCAAGGAATTCAAAATAAGTCGTCGTAGCTATAGCCAAGCCGATCCCAGACAAGCTTTAAACACTCCATCTATCTATATATAATATTAAACAAGTACACAAACATCATCATTTCTCAATGATATCTTCATCAGATTATGGGTTCAATTCTAACCATGGTTACCTTCATTATCTCTAACCCCAACCATGGTTATGTATGCACTATATATGCATGGCATGATGCATCCATGCTCACATCCCTATGCAAACTTGCACGCATTGAATACAAGAATAATACAATACAAATGTCTCTCTCTGTGTACTTGCACTGTGTTTTCAGACATGTCTATAACAAAAACAAACTGCAAATTTTTTGTAATCTTCACTCTCTCTCTCTCTCTCTCTCTCTCTCTCTCTCTCTCTCTGTGTTTAACTGGTCAAATTATTAGTGTAATGCTAATGCTCTATTATCCGTTCTAATATATGCATCAAAATGTTAATGTGTGCAGATGTATCGGACGGTGAAAACCACCGATAAAGCAGCGCCCTCTTCAGGTTAATATAATAACGCCCTCCACTTTTTTTTTTCCAGTTTTTTTAAATTTCTGATTTATTTGAAATCCTAGTTAGAGATGAAAAATGTGCAACAAAGCATTATGGTTAGGGGTTAATTTGTTTATTAATAAAATTTTAGTATATTTTATTGTACAGGACAATCTGATGTGTACGAAAATGCTTCATCTGGGGACACCACTGAAGACATAATGCTTGACCTTCAGAACCCAAGAAGGTCTTGTGATCAGCTCTCACCAGCTCAGCAGCAGGGATCAAGATCCATTCCTCAGGTTCAAGATAATAAAGAATACTATGGCCTCTGGAGCAACTCTTCAAGGTAAACACTAATTAACCTGCTGCTTAATTAATCTTAATTAGTCTCTTGGAATAATACAAAAGAGACAAAAGGAAGGGGAGAGGGGGATGAAAACTTTAAGAAAAATGCCAGTTCATCATGCAATAATTTGACTTATTTTTGTTGTCTTGTCTAAGCTTTGTTCTTTTATAGCTAATCATACATATTATATGGTACTGATTGAGAATTGGAATGTTCTTGTGGTAAATTTGAGCATGTTTGTCTGATTAAATGAGTTTGTCTAGGTTGGGTTAAGTGTGATTTTGAAGACATTACATTTACATGCATGGCCCATGAGGCCCTCATATTTTTTTACTTTTGCATGCAAGAAATCACAGAAAGAATAAATCTAGAAATGATGATGATGGGGTAATTATAAGCTGTTTCATCAAGTGGGCAGGTGGTGAAAAGCAAGTAAAAAAGAAATTTTTGACAAAATCCACCTCAAAGATGGAGATATCTCTTTCCTTTGGATTTTGTGGGGCTCCTATTGCATGGGGCCTACCCAGTTGGAAAACTTAGTCTCAAAGATAAACCAAAAACCCATTATGAAATGATGGACCCTTTAATTAGTAGAAATAAATCTTTGGAACTTCCTTGTAGTCTGTGAATTGCTGGCTATATGCTCATTCTTTCTTGTGTTTAACAAATGGCTCTCACATGGGCATTCTGCTTTATTTCAATCAGCACAAAATTTAAAGACTAAAGTGCGAGCAGAGAGAGAGAGAGAGAGAGAGAGAGAGAGAGAGAGTAGCTAAGCTAGCTAGTTCTCTATAAACAAGAGAGTCGTAAAGATTGCTTTCTTTGAATCTTTTCCCAGTTTGCTTTTTCATCTGCATGCATGGCTTCCACTGATAGAAAATATTCTCTCAATCTGTTTGTTTGTAGCAGAGAAGCTTGGTTGCATGCAAACACAAAGGATTCTTCTGCACCTGCAAATATACCATCTCTTGATGATCAGGAGGTACCAATTTATTCATCTAGTTACTATTTAAATTCATTTATTTCCAAAACATACATACATACATACATACATACATATATATATATCATGGGAATAACTGAAGAAAATGAAGGTTATTTTATTTCCATCTTTCTCCATAAATTCATGCACATTACAAAGAGTAGGGAGAGGGAGAAAAGGGAAAGACTTTTCAAAAGCTGGTTCCCTTAAAAACTTGAAGGGCTATTTCTGTCATTCTCACATGTCCCAGGTGAAAAAGAGTTCTTGTGATATGTAAAAGCTTGTTTGTTATTCTTTGTAGATTGGCATATACATATATATATATATATATATATAACACAATTGGAGATGTTAGCTAGCTAGCTATGGAGAGAATAATGCACAGTTGTGCAGGCTTTCTAGTGTACTATTCAAAGTCTCTTTTTTCCTTGATAAATATTCCCTCAGTGAGTCAAATGTTGATTCCCACTCTCACCCACAGTTCACACACACACTTGTTAGGCTTCTTCTGCATGGTGTTTTGTTTTAAGTGTATTTATAGGCATATCATATAATAGATATGCATATATATTTTGTTTCAGAAGGAAGACATGATGGATCCAAAAGGCTTGAGTTATGAGAGAATATCAGATGTAAGCTCCTCAACAACAAACATTTCTGCAGGGACAAGAAGCCCCAGGAAGCCCAATTTGGAGTTCACTTTGGGCAGGCCACTTTGAAATTGAATAGGGGAAATAAATTAATTGACCCTATTCAGTTTTTAATCATTTTTAATTCATTATATTATGTCTCTGAATGAATGGGGGCTGCCATGGAGATGAGAATCAGGTACCCGCTGAGGAAATCAGAGGAAAAAGAAAGGAAAAAGAAACAAAAGAAAAAGAAAAGTAAAAGGAGAGCTAAAGAAAGACAAGGAGACAAGAAAGACAGAAAGCAACAAAAGGAGAAGGGGTGGAAAAAAAGCATGTCCTTCCTATCAATCTGTGAGATCCCAATCAAACATATTATATTCCCACGTAAATATATCAAGGACATCTAGCTAATTGATTTTGTATGTTTTTGCACTGATGAGAGAGAGAGAGAGGAGAGAGAGAGAGAGAGAGAGAGTGACCTTTAACTATCTTAAAGTATGAAGTGATCCTTGGTAATTGTAATGGAGCACTTTACATTTATATATGAAATATATTTTCTTTCATATTTTTACCAAAGGTGTTGGGTTCTCTTTTCATTCTTATGCACCACCACTGTCACATGCTTTACACTTTACGGACAAAGCGAAAAGAAAGAATTTCAGAATATAAACTATATAAAAGTTTGAGAAACCAAGACATAAAAAGTACCAAAAACAATATAAACACAAGGAAGGAAAATGGAAAAGGAGAATTTCGGGCAAAGTTTTTTTCTCGGTTGTCATTTTTATCTCAGATGACATTAGGGTTCTTCTTTTTCCTAATTAATATCACCGTGTGTTTGTGTGAGAATGAGATAGTGCCAAATTCCTCAACCTTGTTTGGTGGCAAGAATCATTCGCATGATGATTACTTTTGTCCTTGAACTTTAAGTTTTATAATGGATAAAGTTTAGACTGTCGTCGTTAACTTTCAAAAAGAATACTGGTTGCAATTTGTAATTTTGATGTCATTTTTATCCCCAAACGGAAGCTTCTCTGAAAGTAGTAACACATAAGGGTTCTTACTTTTCCTCTTTTATTTAGAAGAGGGATAATTTCAACTTTGAATTTCTCCTAAAAAAAGTAAAAGGAAAAAAATCACTAAATACATGTTAATGGGCTCATATTTTGCAAAGGTATGATCCCACATATAATTTTGGAGTTGTTATGGCACTTGTATATAATATTTTATTTTATGGTAGTCATAATAATCAATCAAAATGAGGAGTGCTATTAATAAAAAATTAGCTAATAATATCGATACTGAATCAATCATTAATGATTTTGGTTCTTTAAAGACTCGAATGGTGCAACTTAAATAGTTTTATTTTGTATATGCATTGCATGTTTTTTTTCTAGACTAACTCGCATCGCTCGGATAGCCAACCCTTCGCGAGCCTACTTGCCCTTCTTTCTTGTGAAGTACCATTCGGCTCCTGTTGGGGAGCCTCACTCTCTTGCAAATTTGTTCAACTCAGGAAGCTAGAGTTACTAGTTTCTCTTTCTCTGGATTGAGGCGTTGTCTCGACTTGCTTGCCTTTCCTTCTTTTGAAGTACCATTCGGCTCTTGTCGGGGAGCCTCACTACCGTTCCATTTACTCTTCACATTAGGAAGTTGTAGTTACCATACCTATCTTTTCTCTAAGTTGATACTGACTCGCTTCACTCGGACAGGGAGCCGGCCCATCTTATGTATTAGATACATTTTGAGGGGTATATAGCTCATTATGTCCTGCCTAACTAGGTGTATTATTTTTTTGTTATCAATAAAATTCACTCATGCCGTTGAGTTTCTTTGTAAGGTAAATCCAGCCCAGTCTATTTTAAAATCCTTGATCCATCCTTGGTTGAAACCTGCCCTGATACCAAGTTAAAAGGAAATTTAGGATTGAATTGTTTGTTGTGTATTCTTCTATGTGGAAGTGAATATAAAAATGTACAACTTGGACTTATCATACAAGGAATAAAATAAAGGGAGTTTCACTAAAACACCCAAAATGGGGTCTGAAATTATAAAAAAACCCAAGCACTATTTAAACATATAAACACACCCAAAAAGTTGACTTTGGGGTTGATTTTGGGTGTGTTTCTATGTTTAAATAGTGTTTGGATTTTTTTATAAATACATGTCTAGGATTGGGTTTATTTATAAATTTGTATAAAATAAATACATCCTAAAATAGGAAATTAGGATTCCCTATTAAATAAGAAAAATCTTTCCTACTATAACAGTCTTGACTCACGCCAACAATACATCTTGATGTTTATGGATAGCAATTGTAATAGTTAATAATGAGGCTTGTTATGAACCTCATGGCATGGGAGATTGAAGCACAAGAGTTTTAAAGAGGATATTTTCGACGTCTCTTCTAATAGCTTGGCAGCACCAAGTAATAGATTTCTTACAGCAGCTTGCCTCAGATAAATGATGGCTAGACAAGAAGAGATTTCCACAAAGGATATATACAATAAGGATGCTTAAATAATTGTTTTTGCATGTTGATCACATTGGCTTGAGTTTGACTTGTTTTGGTAATTTTGAGCATTTTTGGGTTACTCTAGCTCGAGTGTAACAATGGAGGCTTGTGGATGTGTTATTATTCTGGTTGCTCTTAATTAGTATGTTTTTGAATTTTGTAGGCTTGTTGTGACATTGAAATTCAAGCTAAGTTTGGCTAACTACGAGGAGTTATGAGGCTACTTCCAGTTTGCGTGCTTGACTAGAAAATTTCAACATATGCTTGGTTTTCGACTCTCTTTATCTTGAGAACGTTTGATCACTACTTGACTCCAGAATTACTCGTACCTTAATTTTGTCAGAAACAACGTTGTTTCAACGAATGGAGATAAATTACACTACCTAATTAACTCGCTGCTGCACCAAGTTCTCAAAATCAAATATTTTAATCAGGGATCTCTTTCAGCTTTAGGAGTTTTTAAGATGTCTCTCTATTTTATGAAGTGGATAGGTGCACGGGTGAGTTGTATTTTTTGATTTCTCTCTAAATCTAAATTTTGTCTAAAGAGATAATTTAGAGAACCTATTGTAGATATTAGTTCACTCTTGTTTTTAGCGAATAGTTATTCATTTTTTTAAAGATGTGATGTAATCTTTACAACAACAAAAAGCTACTTAGTCAGATAAACATAACCCAGCTCACCCAATACCTACAACATAAAAGAACACCTACGTGATTAGGAAAGAAAAAAAGCAGAACATAACTACGTGAGAGACAAAAACCTATATAAAAAAGAAGTGAGGAACAAAGCAGCCACCAAAGTGGACTGCTGCGAGAGAGGCACACCGATTCAGCAAATCAGCAAGCGCAGTTCCTCTCTTTTTGTTTGTTTTGGTAATTTTCTTCACTAAGTTACTAGGAATTTGTTTTTAAAAAAAAATTAGGAATAAGTTTATATATATATATATATGTATCAGTTCCCTTTTATTAAGGGATCTCTAAAAAAAATTATTTGAGAGACCCTAAAAGGGGTCCCTTTTTTTTAACAATCCAAACCATCTATGTTTTAAGTTTACATTCATAGATCATCCTTACAAAAAATTAGACAAATTGGAAACCGTTTCGATATCCAATTGTGTCATACAAAATCAATGAACACGGTGCTTCAAGAAAATATTATAATTTCAATAATTCAATTGAGTTGTCAAATGATATTGGATTCAAATGATTTTTTGTAGAGATGATCTTTGAAGAGTATCAACAAAATAGACGGTTTGGATTAATGAAATACAATACGGAGTGGGCCATACAAGGGTGTTATTTGAGGAATCCCTCAATTGAAGCTCCTTGTATATATCTATATATATCCATTGTTGTTTTATCTTACTAGAGATTGTTTCACACCTAGTTGCTTTCATGTTCTATATATCATTCTTAGGTTATGCTTTATACAATATCGGATCATCATTGAAATTCTAAGGGAACAAAGAACATTTTGCATTTAAAAAGAAAAAAGAAAAAAGAATAATGCATCATCAAGTAGCAATAACAGAACGCGCATTTTCATATATGAGACTTATCAAAAATGGACTTTGAAATAAGATAGAGAATGAGTTTCTTGTTGATTGTATGATACTTCACATTGAAAAAGAATTAGCTGATAATATCGATAATAAATCAATAATTAGTGATTTTAACTCTTTGAAGCCTTGAAGGATGCAACTTAAATAAAATTTATTTTGTATTATGCATATTTATTTATTATTTTCTTTTTTTAACTACTTTTCTAAGTAAATTTAGGTTTTAGCCATAAAAAAAAATTTACTTTTGGAAAAAGCCAAAGCTTTTTCAAAAAAGACAGAAAAACCTCTCAACTTTCAAATTAAAGACATACAAATGTAAAGGATTCATTAGGAAATTCAAAAATAAATAAGGGCAATTTTGTCCATTTTGGCTTCTTTTAAAAAAGTTCTATCTCCTTTTGTTTTTTCCAAAGTCTCAGTTTCTATCTTATGTGCAAAATGCACTTTAAAGGGTTACGACTCATTATGTCCCCTCTAATTGCGTGTATCATTCTATCTTGAATTTGTGGCTGAATTGTGAATGCCAGATTTCAACTTCTATTGACTTCTTTATGTATGCATAAGTAAAAACAAGAGCATGTGAATTATTGCCTATTTATGAACAGCTTGTGAATATATATTTATTCTTGTGTGAAAAAGAAAGAAACATATAAACACAAAAACAAAAACAAAAAACAAATCTATGAAAAGAGAAGGACTGTCACATGCATGGATGCTACGAATTTAGCAGAATAAAAACGAGTCAATCGAGAAAAACAAAGTAACTAACAGAAGACTGAGAAGCACACACAACCATTATTTATACGTTTACAACGCATTGCAAGCCGAAATTCCCGCGCGGGCGAAGAAGATGGGGTAATTCTTTTTGGGACAGCAGAATATTTTTTATTTATTTTTTGTTCTATTTTATTTTGGACGGACAACAAAAAGCATAAAAATAAACTCAAGCATTATGCTTTCAAAATCCTTCGCACGTGCCCAAGGACGTGACGTGTCATGGGTGGTCCGTGGTGGCAAGATGGGGCTAGGGATACAGCGAAGACACACAGGCAGTGTCAGAGCCAATGAGAGTCAAGCGGGGTGTGGAGGCCGAGGCAAAATCATTTTGCAATCTATTGCTTTATGATTGACCCCTCGCTGAACGCACTGTCGTTTTAGCAGCAGAGAGGTTGGCAGAAGCAGAAGCAGCAGCAGCAGCTGCAGCTTTGTTGTCCTTTCACATCTGACGGGCACGTCGGGCAGGAGAGAGAAGGGGTGAAGTGATGGCGACCATACCTGCCCTCTCCTCCTGCGCATTGAAGGCAGTCCCGTCTTTGTCTGCCCGGCTTTCAAGGCGGGCTACTTACCCTATTTTTCTCCCATAAAAACCTCTCGCTCTTCTTCTTCCTGTTCCTCTTAATTAATTTACCACTAATTAGAAGAAATAAACATCTCTTTCTCTCAATCAAAACTAGTTGTAACTCAAGTGGTAAACAAAGTTTAC